AAATCAAAACTCCATTTTAAGGATCAAGGTTGAATAATCTTCATCTTTCTGTCCCATTCAAGGCTCAGCACTGACATCTGGGTGTAGAAGGACAGGTGTCAACCTTCAAGCCTCCACTCAAAGGCACAAGAGAATTACAAGACAGAAATTTTAGTAACTAAATACTTCTATTTTTTAATTTGTATTTTTTCAGTTTTGAAATTTAAAGTATGAACTCGAGTGTCATACGTGTTTGTGTTGTGTTCCACATGCTGACTATAGCTCAGTACAGATCCAATTTGATTATCAAAAAAAAAAAGAAGTTACTGTTTCATCTACTTTTGGGGGAAAAAAAAAAACAAGGAAAAGGGGAAGTCTGGCCTGTCAAGTGGCAAGTACTGGTAGGGACCAAAACCAGGTAATGTAGATCAGGCTTTCTGGAGAACGTTGTCCAAGAGGATGACACTGATAAAACATCTTTTTCTGGAAGTCAAATGGACTCCAAAGGGAGACCTCAAGGAAACAGAGGTGTTTTACAACAGTCCCTTTTGGACAAAACAACTTCCCATAACAATCAAGTCTCCTCATTTTGTTTTAGTAACTACCTATAGCCCTGGCATCATTACTGTGAATATCTTGACTCACCTGCCTGCAGCTCAAAATAGTGTTTCCCTTTTTAATTTGATATATTTCACACTACATAAGATACCCTTTACTTGTAGCTCTACTCTGTGTAGAAAAAAAGTATTAATGTTCTTCCAGATTTCTGTGTTTCTGTCTTTTGCACCAAGGCACTACAGAGAAACTGGAAATGAAGTTCCACCTTCAAAGAGTGTATTCAAAATGGCCTCCTACTGGAATGGTTAATGGGACAATGAATAACTTGGGAGGGCTGACGATGTAGCTTTGTGGTAGAGTGACTGCCTAACATGCAAGAGGTCATGAGTTCAACTCCCATCAAAGAATACTTTCAATTAATGTACATAAAGTTAGCACCTACACATTCTTCAGATTTTTGCCCCTCATTTATAGCTCATAAGGGTCAGCGAACTGTCAGGAATTTAACATCAACTTTGTAGGTTAAAGATGTAAAATTTGGTCCTTTGGAGCATAAATTAAAAATAATAATCCCCACCAAAAAAGGACGGGCTGTGGTGGCATACACCTTTAATCCTTGGGAGGCAGAAGCAGGTGGATCCTTGTGAGTTTGAGCCAGCCTGGTCTACATAATGAGTTCCAGGAAAGGCTCCAAAGCAGAGAAACCCTATCTTGAAAACAACAACAACAAAAAAAAAAAAAAAAAAAAAGAAAAAGAAAAAGAAATCACAAAACAATTTAGAAACATACAAATTCTATTGTAATTTTTGTCTTAATATATAAAATACAAAGTTATAAATTATACAGTGGTATGTACACAAATATACTATTTACATTCTACTCATGTAAAGTTAACAATATTAACAAGTGATACTTGATGCACATGAGTGTCCTTATTTTGTTTCTGACCTAAGTTATACAAAATCAGATATAAAACATGAATACCCTGAACAAGGGAAACAGAAGGATTAACCACAATTTGATTGACAATTGTAGTTCCAGCTTGACCAGATCATTTCCTGAACAGACATACAAGATGAAGTTATATTATTTTTTTCCGACACTTATTAACCCCACACTGGCAGAGGATTTCCTTTTCAGGTATGGTCCCAGCTTCATAACCATAATCCCATGTTAGTTCTGTTCTTGCTTTCACATACCTAGAAAGTAGAAATAAAAGAGTCATAAATCACCCTAAGTAATTGCACATGAATGAACCTTGAATATACCAATTTTCATATTAGCAAAATTAACCATCTTACAGTTGATCTATTCTCTCTCCACATCATCCACCATTTAAGATAATCCTTATTCAGAGTAATCATCTGACTTTTATTTCAAGTTTCCCAAAACCTATGTAAGAAGTATATCTATGAGGAATGGTGTTTTGCAAACAGGAAGGCTGTGGCACATGAGCAAATGGGAAAATTCAGACTTTAAGAGGATACAAGAAATGGCTGTATTCCTAATGTGGGATAGTTTCTTTTCAATTGCTATTTTTACTTCAGAATATTAATGTTTTCCTTTGGGCAATGATTTTGTGAATTAAAACCATATGCTATTTTTTCCCTCATTATTTTTCTTATATTTTCTCCTGCATTTTTAAAAACTGTGGAAGACAGTGCACTCCTCACTCAGTGTGGTCTTGCTTGTGGCCATTTCCAGCACCTCTAAAGGAACTCATTGCTATGCTGGGCTATAAGCTGATTATTCCATCTCTGGGAGACCAGGCAGTCAGAGATGACTGCATTCAGAACCAGGAGGAACTTGCAGGAAGTTGCTAAATAAACCTTGCTGTCTGAATGGCGGGATCTGCATCTTGGGGTCCTTCAGTACCTGTCCCCCTTCTATGGACGCAACTGTGAACATGATATATGCAAACAATACTGTGGGTCTGTGTCACCCGGCATCAGGCTAAGAAGTGTTCTTTGTGTAGGTACATGGCCAGTTCCACTGGTTTCCTCAGACCTTTCTACCTGGCTATGATGATCATGTGATGAACCAGAAGTTCATAACATCGACCCCTTTTATGATAGGTGGCATTTGCCCTTTCCTAGAAATTCAAGTGTAGGTGTCATATGTATTTGATGGCCAGTCACTTGTCATTTTTCCTAAAATGATGCACACATCTCCATAGTGATCCGTGACATGCTGTCTCACAGCACTGACTACACTTCACCTTGGCAGCATGTCTGTGCTGATGTCACAGACATAACTTTGAGTGTGTTGGGTGTTCTGAGGCCTGGCTATATCCCAGCCTATAGCTACTTTACTTTCAAAATGCTGCCTAAAATATGTCCAAATCCTGTTTCTTCATAAATAAAAGGCTCACATTTTCATACTAATACTTTTAAACAATTTTAAAGATTATTAAATCCTTCTATGTAACTGGAATTAAATATGAAGTAGATAAAGAAATTATCTTAAAAAAAAAGGAAAAGTAAAGGTCTAGGTGAGGGCTTCAATCCCAGCACTTGAGAGGCAGAGGCAGGCAGATCTGAGTTCCAGCACATTACACAAAGAAACACTGTCTCAAAACAAAACAAAACAAAACAACAACAACAGGATAGACAGACAGATAAATGATAGATAAATAGATGAGTCATGGCCAACCTGGGCTATGTCTTGAGTACCAGGTCAGCAAAAGATAAATGGCAAGACCCTGTCACAAAGCAACAAAAAACTGACTCTCTTCTGCAGAATTACTGCAGGCTTTCTCCAACATATACAATTTTATTAACTGTTGTAAAAGAAAATGTTATATTTAGCAATAAGTCAAATTATAAAACTACACACAGTTTTTTTATTACTATTTTCTGAGTATGTACAATAAAAATAAGAACTCTGCTGATCAAAACAAAAAGGATATAGCACTCTTCCTGTTCCCCTTAACTAACCTATGTAGTCTGATGACCCCAGCCCCTTAAGAAATTAATTCTAAATGAGAATAAGAATAGAAATCCCAAGTGTTTAAATTTTTGCTAAACTGACCATTTTAGGACACCAGATATTTGGTGCTATGCTTTATCTTTTTATACTTTTTTCATATTTACAATTTTAAAAACCATAGCTGCAGATTTAAATTGCATAAACAAAACAATTGCAAACCTGTTGGTGAAGAAGGCAACCAATGGAAAATTCCTGTCATGCGTTTCTACAAAAACATTCTGTATGCAGAGATTTGGGGAACAACTGTGCTGTTAAAAAAAAAAGAAAGAATTAAACACAAACATTAGACACATTATAAGATATAGAACCTTGTTATTTAAAGTATGTGAATACCATTGTTTCCTACACATCTCATTGATTTTGTCTTTCTCATTTTAGTTAATATACAATCTATCACAGCTCTTAACAGTGTAGTTAGTAGCAGGAACCCATTCAGTAAAGCCACTCAGATATCTTGATGAAATATAAAATAGAAAGAACCCCCATATGAGGATTGTTTGTCAGTACTTATTATTATAAATACATTTATCTTTCAACTCAACAGCACTATATTAAAAAGTGTATTGTACAGAGCCATCTGCATAGATATCTACATGTAAGGTTGTTAATAAACAGTTTTTAAACATCTAGAAATAATGCCTACCTATAAGGAGCTATTTAAAATTGACACAGTAGAATTCTATGCAGCATAAAGGGAGAGCATGCTAACAAGAAGAATCAGGGCCACTTGGATAGTTCTATGGGTAAAGGCATTTGCCAACAAGTCTGATAACCTGAGTTTGCTTCTGGAACTTACATGGTAAAAGGGGGAGAACCAACTCTCCAAGTTGTTCCCTAACCTCCACACATTCATGTGGCATGTATGTATCCCCAGTCTACAAAGAAAACAAATAACTAAATGTATAAAAAAAAGTACCAAGAATTCCTGTGTACTGATACATACTGATCTTCAGGATAGTATTGTTAACTCAAAAAGTGAATATAAGAGATAGTTCAAGCAGGGCAGTGGTGGTACACACTTTTAAACTCAACACTCAGGAGACAGAAGCAGGCAGATCTAAGTTCAAGGACAGTCTTGTCTAAAACTCAAGTTTCAGAACAGCCAGGACTATACAGAGAGAAATCTTGTCTTGGAAAAGAGGGAGGGAGGGAAGGAGAGGGGAGACAGAGAGAGAGAGAGAGAGCACTCAATTAGTAATGTATTGCTATGTAAGCAAGTAGACCTGAGCTCAATCCCTAGACCCCATAGGAAAAAGCCAGGTGTGGTGGCACATGCTTGTGCTATCAGGACTTAGGAGGCGGAGAAAGAAGATCCCTGGGGCTTGCTGCCAGATAGCCCAGCCTGATTGGTGAGCTGCAAACCAATAAGTAACCTTGTTTAAAAAAACCAAGGTGAATGGCACTAAAAGAACAACACTCACAACTGACCTCTGTCTCCCAAACACACAGGCACACATGTGCATGCAGGCCACCACCCATGCACTCGTACACACTCACTAAGTGAATAAGCTATACAAAAGAGAACACCATATGCGTTTACTTTCATTAGCAGAGAGCGGGGAGTGGGATGGGAGCAGAATAAACAAGAGCCATAGAATGGGGAATTGGCAGCATAATACTTTTCAAGAGAAGGCCTTAGCTGGGCAGTGGTGGTACATCTTCCTTTTAATCCCAGCACTAGGAAGCAAGGCAGACAGATCTCTGAGCCTGAGGCTAGCCTGGTATGCATTGTAAGTTCCAGACAACGAGGGCTACATAGAGAAAATTCTGTCCCAAAAAACATACATATATGGAAAGGACCTTGGAAACAAGTAAAAGTGTTGACAGAGTTTTAAAAAGAAGAGTATACACAATATAATCCTTATGGCCTTCCAAACCAGCACCTCTGAAGAGGAGACCTGTGTAAGCAATCGATTGCTCTCAACATAGCATGCCATGTAACCTCTTTCCAAGGCTTGCAATGTGACAGTACTCTCAATACCACCATTCCAGCACTTCTTAGCTGCCTACTGTCTTCTCGTTAGTTATTGACATCTATTACTATCAACAAGACTCATAAAGACACCAAGTCTCTCAAACATTCTTGAATATGTCCATCACTTAGTTTCAATGACGATTAGTTTCCTATTCAATTATTTTGTGCAACTTGGACAACTGAATTTGCAAAATGTGTGTGTTTTATGCATGTCTATGTGAACCTGTCTATGGAAGCTGGAAGTCAAATGTCAGATGTCTTCATTGCTCTTCACCTTACCTTTTCACACATAGAATAATTTTGTAATCTTATTTTTTGAGACAAGGTCTCATTGAACTTGGAGCTTGATGATTGGCTAGACCATCTAGTAAGCCCCAGCATCTTCCTGTCTTTTTCCTACTGCAAGAATTAAAAGTGCATGCCATGATGTCTGTTTTATGTGTGTGTGCCTCTGTATATGATGTAGTGTGTGGTACTGTGTGCATGCTGGGTATGCAACTCCATCATGCTCCACCATCTCTTGAGACCCCATCTCTCATTGACACTGGGCCTAGCAAGCCTGTTTCCACCCCCAAGAGTGCTGGGGTTACAGGCATACATATTGCCATACCAGCTTTTTAAGTGGATGCTAATCGCAATCACTTTACAGACTGAGCCATCTTCCCAGCCCTGAAAACTGACTGATGTTTTTATTTTTCCTTGGTTTTATGTTTTGCTTTTTGTCTTAAAGACAGGCTCTCATACTGTAGCCCATATTTGTCTAAAACTCAGGAAATCCTCCTGTTTTAGCCTGAGAAGTGCTGGGATTACAGGCATAAGCTACCATGTCCAGCCATTTCTTAAGTTTTCTAATGCAAATGTTCACTTTATGGTAAGCACTTTCAAGCGATTTATATTAATTAGTATGACCCCAAGAAACCCTAGTCATTCCCATATTAGCAGTTGACATTAAGCATCAAGAAGTAGCATATAGAAGTACACCAACAGAGGAATGACCCAGTCTGTTTTTAAAATCTATTAATCCTATGTTCCTGATAAGGAAAGGAGTGCTTAGAAATAGGAATCTCAACCCTGATACTCACATTAAGGAAACGGCCCACGTTTCCTTCTTTTGAAGCATCCAATAGAAATACATTCTCATTACTGAGCCTCATTAGAGATGATGGAGTCTTTGTCTTTTTTTCACTTGGCAATTCTTCATCACAGAAGACCTGTTGACCATGAGAGGTTGCAGATTCTTCTTCTTGAGACTTTTTTACTGGAACTTCAGACACCTTTTTAGTATTCTCATTATTCAATGTGGCTACATGCTTACACTTGACATCTGGTGAAGTGTCTTCTTTACGTTTAGTTATATCTGTCACATCTGATTCAATCAGCTGTCTGTCTTCAGAATATCCAACTTGGTTTGAACTTAAGTCTTCTAGTAGACATTGTTAGGAAGGAATTGTCAGGGCATATACTTGGCTGAGTAATAGTGCTAAGATTAAGTTAGATGACAGTTACTTTAATTAGCACTAATCCTTATCACACGTTAAGGTAGAAAGTATTACTCAACTTTTATATATATAAACACTGAGTCTCAAGGACTAAAAAGATTTCCTGACTCATACAAAGAACTACAGAAACACATAGGTGTGCCCAGCTTCTAAAGCCCATTTTCTTTCTGTGGCATCACATCTTTTAATGAAATCTGTTGCTTCCTCATCAATGTATTTAATATCAAATCCAAAAGAAGTGGCTTTCCTTTCATCGACTTTAGAATCTGCATTTAAGTATATTAAGTATATTCCAGATTCATGTAACAAAGAGTGGCAAGGTCTTTAACATGTCATAGTTCTAAGAAAACTCTGTTAGGCGTTCTTTTTTTCAAACTCCAGCAAACGCAACTGCGTTTCCAAGGGCTTACACATAGTGATGTCTGGTGCCTTTATTAAATGATCAGTCAAAAATTGTACATTTATAAGCCAATGAAAGTGATGAACTTAAGTTAGTTTTTGTATCCATAATGGAACTAACTCTTTGTGAGCATCCGAAGTATGAATGCACTTCAGATAGAATAGCTAAAGTCATGTACTTAAAAGAAAAAAAACAGACCACTCATGCCCTTATAACATAGTCCCCCCCCAAATTATACTTTAGTTGGCTCTTAGGCTAGAGATATGGTACAGTGGATAAGAGTACTTGCTGCCAAGTCTGAAGTCCTGAGTTCAATCTCAGGCACCCCATGTGGTGGAAGAAAGGAACAGATTCCCAAAAGCTGTCCTGACTTTGGCATGTCATGGCATGTGTATGTGAACATTTCTTTCCCTCAAATAAATGGATAAATATTTTTAAAAGGGGGGAGGCAAAGATCTTTGAAGGTATTTTCCTTTTTCCTTAAAAGCCACAGACTACACCTCTGGACCACATTGTCAGAGCTATTCACTCTACCCCTTCTGCCAAGCAGTAGGTCATTGCTGAAACCAGACCAGATGCCTGCAAACTCCTACAAGTGTAGCACCAGTCAGCAAGTATTTACATGTCATATGATCTCTATCATGACTATTCAATTAAGCCAATGTAGAGGGAAAGTAGAAACATGTAATCAATGCCTGTAGCTATATTCCACTAAAACTTTATTTACACACACTCATGTCGTAAGTTTTTATAATTCTCAAGGGTCATGAAATATTATGCACCATCTGATTTTTTGACTATTTAAAAATGTAAAAAGCATTCTTTTATCAGCCATAATTAACACTGAGAAGGTCAGATTTGGAGTAGAGTTTACCAGTTTCCACATGACAAACCCATCAATTTGTTACGAAGTCTATGGAAAGAAGTGGTATATATTGAACAAAAGGGGCAAAACGGCAAGGGGGGTAGACAGCCATAAGGAAATAAAGCCTACCGTGAGCTCTAGCTTTAGAGTATATGTGTTCTTGAGCTGGTTTACATCCATTCTTATCTTCAGGGGCAGCAGACTCTGAGGAATCAAATCCCTTCAAAGAAAGTAAGAAAGACAGCTGTGCTCTCTAAGTCAGAAAAAAACACTTAGTAGTTAGGCCTCCTTCACCAACTATTACTCTTTATAGGCTGTGTATAGTAGGTTAGTTCTGAAAAGCCACAAAGCTGGTATTGTAAGGAGCCAACACGTGTGCACCTTTTACACTGTCTATTTTTAGATATTTTAGTAAGCTACAACAATTGTCAAGATATTATTTGGGCTAAACATATAATAAATTTGTCTGTATCTCAGACTTGAAAAGCCTGTATGTTCAAAACAGTAAAATAAATCCTACATAGTATTATGTAGCATAAACATTTTAGTAAAGGCTAGAAAGGTAAGAGAATGGCTAGTGGCCTTGGAAAGGCATTGTCTTTTCTTTTGTTTTAGTGTCTTGCTATGTAGCCCAAGTTGACTTCAAACTCATGATCCTCCTAATTGGCCTCCCAAGCACTTTCATTGCAGGTGTGCCACTATGCTCAGATTGATCTTGTCATCTTTACCTTGTTGGTCTCATTGTAATGAAAAACAGCTGTCTTGAATTTAGGGCTTATAATGACTGAGTGACGCTGAGTTCTTGAAATATTTCTATTCATTTCCCTGAAAAGGAAAAGAAAAGTTATTCTGCATATCACGAAAAGTTTATTTTATTAGACTGTAAAATATGACTGATGTCACTACTTTATAAACTTCCATTATTGTTAGAAATTAATCTAGGGACCAGAAAGATAGCTCATTGGTTAAGAGCACTAGTAGCTTTTCCAGAGGACCTGGGTTCAATTCCCTAGCACTCAGGGCAGTTCACAATCATCTGTAACTCCAGTCCCTGGAGATCTAAAACCCACTTCTAGTCCCTGAGTACACCAGGTACAAAAGTGGTAAGGCCAAACACCCATACACGTAAATTAAAATTAAAATATCAGAAAAGAAATTAATCTATATCACATCTACACTACTTAATCGAGGAAGGAAAAGGTAATCATTAGTTACCAATCACTTTAAAATGTGTTTTTTAAAAAAATGGGACCCTAATAAAACTTTCCAAATAGAATGATGATACAAAGATAAAATCAAAATCTATAACATTCATAAAGAGCCAGATGAAAGTTACCCATCATGAATTCGGGAATGGGACACCGGAGGAAATGTGCTGACTAGATTTTTAAGGTGAGACTGCTAGATTTCTAGAAGTTTAGAGGAGGGTGGTGGGAGGGGAGAAATCAAGAGACATAGAGGGGGAAAGCCCAAACACTCCTGATCCCTAACAAGGGTGCACACTATGATTCGAAGTTTTTACTTACGTAACAGGCTCTTTGAAATCACTGTTAAGGTTAGGGGGACATTTCTCAGTTTCAGGACTTATAGGATGTGTTTCACAATCTGAACATATAACATCTATTTTCCTCTTTTTGGAAAACATATTTTTTACAATGTTCTGTTGTTCTTTTCCATTTTCATCAGTATTAGTTTTCTCAGGAGTGACTCTGCTTAGTAATCTTCCTGAAATACAACAGTGAGTGATCAAAACAGGAAACAACCACTACCAACAGGTAGGCATCATTTTCTGTAAATAAAAGCTTGGGACTAAGTGCACTGTATTTCTAGAAAAAAAACTCACCCTATAAATTCTAGAATGTAGGTAACTTATCCAAGAAAACCATTCCAAGGCTCTATAAAAAGACCAATGGGAGATTTCTGTCTTACATTCATAATAAATATGAGGTATCTGAAAGAAGTGCCAGGCCATGTTGATATTTTAAAAAGAGATCCACAGTAATGTAAAACAAAAATAAATAATAGTGCTCTAGGCAATGAAAAGTAAATATGTTTACATTTTTAGTTTGAAACCTTAAACACTTGAAAAATGGCCCATTCAAAATTTGTGACATCTACCTACCATACTTAGTTTAATATTAAAATTTTTGTCTTACCTAATATATTTTCTTTCAACAGTCAGGTAGAATTAGAAGCTAGATATCCCCAGCCATTTTTCCAGGTCACCCTTAGGTATATGTTCTAGCTCTGCAGAGACTGCCAATAATGCTTCCTGGACTCCTCTTAGGGTGTAGAGACAGATTCTACTCAACAGTTAGTCAGAGAAATAGGACGAATGTTTAGGCAGGCTGGGTAGTGCATGTGAATGTCACTGGTGTATGACAGATTCACATATGACTCCCTACCCTAGAGTCCCTGAAACTAAATGAGATGATTAACTGTATGAATCATAATATGCAAGTACTCATTACAATATTAACTTGTGAAAAACATTAAGGAGTTTTGATTTTTTTTTTTACCTTAGAGAGTCATTTAGTTCTTATTTAGAACTTTTCTTCCCTTATTCCAGAGCATCTGTAGCTATGAAGACAATTTGCCTTGTAAATCTCAAGCCCTAATGAAATAGAGCCTTTCCTTCCTGAAGCACCTATGGTATCTTAGCCCTTCAGGACCCAAGATCCAGTCATTTGTCTCCTTTGGTGCTCCCCCTACCTCTTGATCAGCACCTCGCTAAAAATGCCAGTGGCTGACTAGGATAATCTATATTCAGATGTATATAGATCTAATTAGGAAATAATTAGAAAACAAATCTTTGCTTTACCTGAGTAAATGCACACAAATGTCCCTCTGTCAATGTCATCCAGGCAGCGTACTCCCCAGCCCTTCTTCTCACTTTTGAACACCTGTAGCCTCACCTGGGGACCATGTTGGACGACTCGGTTTTGACACAACTGACGGTTACACTTGCACAATAGGTTGCATTCATAAATGCTGGCAAAAATACACATAAGACAATATAAATTGCTATTTCAATTAAGTAGTAGTCAAACTGAGGGAAGTAAAATGCTTAGGGCTAGATTGCCTGAGTTACTAGCTATAGTTTGTTTTTAAAATGGAGTTTATTTTTAGTCATTTATTTATATTTATATATATATATATATATTTTTTTTTTTTTTTGGTTTTTGCGAGACAGGGTTTCTCTGTATTGTTTTGGAGGCTATCGGTCCAGCCTGGCCTCGAACTCACAGAGATCCGCCTGCCTCTGCCTCCTGAGTGCTGGGATGGGATTAAAGGCGTGCGCCACCACCGCCCGTCTTATATTTATATTTAATGAGTTTTTGCCTGTGTATATAACTGCACCATCTGCATGCCCAGTGCTCACAGAAACCAAAAGAGGGCACTGGATCCCTGAGATTTAAATCCTCATGTGGGTGCTGGAATTTGAACCTGAGTCCTCTAGAAGAACAGCCAATGCTCTTGACCACTGAGCCACCTTCCCAACCTCAAATGGGAAGTTTATATAACAGAGCTTAACTCACAGGGCTGTTTCATTAACATCCACACCACAATGTTTACCAGATATGTAACAGGATGCTCAGTACACAGTAAATGCTAGCTTTTTAAATGTGTAAAGGAAATGTATAGGATCAAGCTCTTCTAGTTCTAGTTCTATAGGTGTTATTATTTAGCACCAATTTTGATAGGCTGACAAATAAGTTTCCTTCATTCACTTTTTTAAATAAACATATATTTTAATATTATTAGTTGTGTGTGTACGTGTGTGTGTGTGCATGTGTGTACTCATGCTCATGCACGTGTAGCACACAGCCATACACACACCGAAGCCAAAGAAGGATGTCAAGTGTCCTGCTCTACCACTCTCTGCTTTAGTCCCTTGAAACAGGACGTCTTCATTGAACCTGAATCCAAGCCAGGGCCAGCAAGCCCCAGAGATCCTATATCTTCAGCCTCTAATAGCTCTGGAATTACAGACATATATAGCCTTTTATATAAGTTCTGAATATTTGAACTCAGGTCCTCATGCCATTTCCCACTGAATTAGCTCCTCAGTCCCTTCATTTGTTTTTGAAACAGCTTCCCTGTGTAGCTCAGGCTGGTTTGAACTCAATATCATCCAGCACATGAGGGAGGCAGATGTTTTAATGGGAAAATGGCTAATCAGAGTCACTCATTTCCTATAGAGTTAGGCTTGAAGCAGATGAGTGTTTGAGTATACAATGATGTGTGGTCTTTGGCTTCCATTTCTGAGACTATAATATGCTTTCATATTATTTATTACCGCTTAGTAATTTAGATTTTCAGTATTAGGAACAAATATAAACAAAACCTGTAAGACTGTAGATCATAATAAAAGAAAGTAGTCTCTGGGCCTAGAGAGATGAATCAGTGGTTAAAATACTTGCTATGAAAGCATGAGGACCTGAGTTGAGATCCTTAGAACTCATATAAAAGCTGGGCATGGTAGAGCATGTATGTAACTCCAGCGTGGGAGAGGGCAGCAGAGCCAGGTAGATCCTGGGGTCTGCTGGCCAGCCAGTCTAGCCAAAGTAGGAAGCTCCAGTCTCAGTGAGAGACCTTATCTGAAAAAAATAAATAAGGTGGACGGTGACTAAGGAAGACACCTAGCTTTGACTTCTGGCTCGCATGTGAGCACACACAGGCACAGGCACCATCCTACCATGCACACAACATACAAAAGTACCCTCCTTCAGACACATACACTGTGTAACAAATCCGTAAGGTTCCTCACCCAGTAGGTATGAGTCTCTGCAGTCTTTTATATTTATATCCAGTACACACTCCATCAAGTGACAAAGGACATGCTTTGGCATTCTTTGCTGTCAACTGAAGACATGGACATTTTTCTCTAAAAGAAAGGTAGTGGACAGGTAAGTCAAAATTAAAAAAAAAATCAAGTTATGAGACTTGGTAAAAGTGTAAATGACATTAAAAAACACTGTACTTTTATTTATAAGAGGAGTTTTGCTCAAGGACTATATGGAAACTCCTCTAAATACAATAGGCATACATGAAAAATAGTACCAACCAAAAGCTTATTACAACTAATAAAACTACACTGAACTATTTGACCAAGCAACAGACATTTAATTATATGGGTTTTAATTTTTCAAAATGGGTGTTCTACTCATCACATGCCCCTTTGTTGATAGTCTTAGTTCTGCTCCTTTATTATAGATTATTTTAATAGTTATTCCCTCATTATCACAGAGGTATATTCAAGGACCCATAAATGCTTAAAATCTTGTATTAGTATCAAAGTATTTATTTGTGCTTTTCCCAATCCTCTTAAACATTGCCACATGATACCAGAATCAATCTGCCCTGCATGCTTTATTTTCCTGCATATAATTACTTGTGTCCTTTGGGGCCATTATTAAGTAAAACAGGTCTTACTTGAATGTATTGCAAGTATGTTACTTGATTGACAACCAACATGGCTGTTTCATGACTAAGTGGTAGGTCATGAACACTGTGAACAAAGAGATGATTCACATTCCAAGTGGGGCATTCTGTCACACAACTTCCAATAGCATGTAGTTAAAAACTTATGAACTGAGTGTATATTGAACTCTCCACCTAATGTTTATTATTATTAATATATATGGGTGTTTTTATCTGAATGTACCACTTGTGTGCCTGATGCTTGTTGCCTGGGGAGGGTAGTGGAACTCTTGACACTAGATGTGAATTGCCATTGGGGGGTGGGGTGGGCATTGAACCTGGGTCCTCTGGAAGAGCAGTCAGTCCTCTTAACCTCTGAAACACCTCTTAAGCACAGTATTTTTAAACTACAGGTGACCATTGGAAGTGAAGCTACTGTAAAGGAAGGAACTGTTGTAGTGTAGATAGTGTTCACCATCTTCTCAATATGAAATGAAAAATGACAGGCAGATCCATAGCTTACCAGCCAGTCACTCAACACCCATACTAATTATCAGGTCAAGATACCTGCAATGTTTCAGGCATGTAGGAGAAGCACAAATAAATAAGACTTTGTTACTAATTCAAGATTTTAAGCACTCAGGGCTCCTTGAGTATACCTCTCAGATAATGAGGGAATAACTTAATTATAAAATTTTCCCTTTCTCTTTTACTTATTATAGTTAGCTAGATTTGCATAGAGTTAACCATACATATAACACAAATCTACCCTATTACCAGCAAACCTACAGATGCATAAGTATTACACACATCTTGTTTCTCTCCCCAGACTAACAGCTGTGAAACCAGCGTAGGACCGAACCAGGCTCCCTGAACGTGGGTGTCAGTTAGGAGTCCTGGACAGTATATGGGGCCTCTGGTAGTGGATCAGGATTTATCCCTAGTGTACAGATGGGCTTTGGGAGCCCATTTCCCATAGATACTCTCTCAGTCTAGACATACGGGAGAGGGCCTAGGCCCTACCCCAAATGATGTGACACACTTTGATGATCCCTCATGAAGGCCTCACCCTCCCTGGGGAACAGAAAAGGGATGGGATTGGGGGTTGGTGGGGGATATGGGAGGATGGGAGGGAGAGGGAACTGGGATTAATATGTAAAATAAGATTGTTTCTAATCTAAATTAAAAAAGGATAAAAAATGTTTCTCAAGGTCTTGATGTATCAGAATATGTTTTGTTTTCATTTTCTTGATGGAATGTCAATACAATGGTTAAAGAATGATAGCTGTGAGCACACTGAAATTCCTAAAATCTACCTGGTAATGATACTTAATTTGTAAAAGCAAAATATGACAAGTGACATAGAAATTAGGAACAAAGATTCTAATACTGCCTCTCCAATTTGTCTGCTGTGACTTCTTTGAATTTGTTTCTGAGACTAATTTCCTTACTTGTATGACAGAATGTATTACCTAACACACAGATTTTTGTGTGGCAAAGAGAATGTGTGTATTTAAAGTGTTTGGGCATGCATGGAACTCATAAACAGCTCTGTAAATGCTATTATAATTATGATACTACATAAAAGGAAATACACATCCTTAGAAGAAATAAATTTCAAATTACCATTTTTTGCCAAAGACTTATGGTTAAGGAAATGTCTTTTCATCTATTCCAGACAATTTATGCACAGGTTTTAGACAGACAGAATGACAACCTGGAACACAGAAGGATTAGACAAATGTGTCTACATTCAGAGATTGAAATACCATGTTTTTCTACTTACATGTCTATGCATCCCTCAGAACAGTCACATGAATCAGAAAACATGCTGGAAAAATTTAGATAGCTTGCTCGGGGCCACAATGTCTTTCTGTACTTAAACTGTGGAAGTTTCCTATTGTCAATCTCATTACAGAAAGAAATTGGCACTGATTCCACTCCATTACTAATATCCACATTAGAAACAACTGCATCTTGCTTTGGGTAATTCCGAGTCAATTGAACATAAGTATTGAAAGAAAAGTTGTCAGTGAATAAAAAGTTACACCCTGTCTCAATAAGGTAATGAAAAACTTCCTCTATGTTTCGTAGACTCCGTCCACAAGGCGTTTTATAATTCACGTGAAGAGCAGAAGAATGAGAGTTTGTCTTTGCATGTCGTCTTTGGAAGTGAAATCTGATGGGTAGCTGTAGAGGGTTTTCTCCCTTCAAGGACAGTGGTCTTTCCATTAGACATGCGCTGGAGCAGATGTGGCTATGGAAAGTCACACTCAAAGGGGATTCCTTCTCTCCCAGGTCTGCAGCTTTACTGTTCTCAGGTAGGGATGCTTTGTTTCCTGTAGATCTATTAGAATAAATTAATTATTAGTACATCAAAGTTATAATCTAGCTTCATTTTTTAAAAACACTGCACACTAATGTGGTAATTACTCTATCTTCTTGGACAGCAGTAAGATAACCTAGACTCTGAAACATTTTATATATTCTTCAGGCATTCAAAGATCAGATGTAACTTAGACTATTCAAGGAAGTTTAAGCTAGCTGTGACTTTCTACTAGGCTCTGACACATGCAGTTAGAGCCTGCATTTGTGCAAAGACAAAAAACAGCATTTCTTCGTGTGGTGTCGCACCTGCTGTGCGGCCTGCATCCGAGAATGTAGCGAGGTGGTCGGGATAGATGACACAGAGACCGGTCGGTTGCTTTAAGAAAACTTTATGCTTCCCAAGTCAGCTTAGGAGGAGATCCCAGTCCGCTTAGCAGAGCTCTCAGGAGAAGTCCCTCTAAGAAAAAGGAGCTTCCCTTTTTAAGGACTTCTGCCATTTATCTACATACCATTCTTTCCTCCTGGCTGGTGGTCTAATCTCCCGGCCCCAGAATCGGGGAGACACCACAGGAAAACAGGAAGAGGCATCTAGCCATAGGAGGTGTGAAAGGCATGGTATTTCAGTGAGCAAGCCCTTATCTCAGCCCTATGAAGAGCTTTAAAGCACTGAATTGTTTTCAGTAAACATTACACAGATGCCTGCTCCCAGGCCGAAGGGGAAGTGGGTTTCTGCTCAAGGTCTGGTGTCCCCACAGTGTGGGATTTGCTAAGTCTTTGCCTAGTAAATCTAAGGTAGCTGAAAAATTAGTTAAGAATCCTTTACAAAGCCTCTATCTAACTGATTTTTCTCCACAATATGTAATCCAGCTGTCAATCATATTGATACTCTGAGAACAATAGCAAACTGACAAAAGAAAATGGAATGGTATTCAATTTAAGGGGAAGAAATCTGGAAAAAAAAAGTTCTTATACTTTGACTCCACCCCCCCCCCTTTTGGTACAGACAGGGTTTCTCTGTGTAGCTTTTTGGAGCCTGTCCTCGAACTCACTTTGTAGACCAGGCTGGCCTATAACACACAAGAGATCTGCCTGTCTCTGCCTCCCAAGTGCTGGGATTAATGGCATGCGCCACCACCACCTGGCTTGAACCCAATTTCTAAACTTCTTCAAAGAACTCGAATTTTATTTTGCTAAGTGTCTATTATACATTAAAACAAGCACTTTATTTGCTTTTGTCTAAAAAAAAACAGATAGAATGCTCTGAGGTTACAAATCATCACTCGATGAACAGCAATATATAAAGCAACTTCAGTGTACAGCTCTCTCTACCATTCCTGCTAGTCACATTATATACTACTGTAAACCAATTTCTGTTAATATTGACAATTTCATTCTCTCAAAGGACAAGTTCCTTCAACTGGCTATATACACAATTTCATCAATGAAGGAGTCTAGATATTTTTGGATTTCAGGCTAATGGGTAAAACGATATACCCATTATATACTTGTATATAAATCTTCTAATGTTGGAACTATTTCCAATTTGTCTGTGTTACTGCTTTGATGAACATCTTCAGACATAAATCCTTGACCAACTTCCTGATTATTCTTATACCCAATATATTATTATTCTACTACTCAATAGAAATATACATTAAAATGACAATAGCAAGAAAACCTTGGTTAATAAAATTAGTCAATCACATACAAGAATATATTTTCTTATAAAGACCCAGATGTCAATTTGAGAACTATAGAAATCTCATAAAAAATGATATTACCCAAACTTCTGCAGTAGAAGATAACTACACTGTCAAATTTCCTAGTAAGCATAAGGCCACATGCCTATGATGATCCATGCCTTCCTTTGAAAAGCCTGAAGAACTGGGGTTGCAGCTCAGTGATACAGTGCATCTTAGCATGCATGCATACGTTTTTGGGTTGGAAATACAGAATGGTAAAAACAACAGCAAAAAGCTAACAAAACCCAAATTCTTCCTGAAAAAGCTCCATACTACCAGGAGAATGTAAAGTTGTTCCAGGATCTAATGATGGACAGTTACACTGCCAGTCCTCCGTACACTTTCTTTGAGGACTACTGAGTGGAGTTAGCACTCATGATCCCTTCCAGTTTCCTGTGTATGTCGTCAATACAAAGTTATCTTTCTCAAAGATGTGAAAACAATGCTTTTGGGGAACAAAAGTAATTTGGGGGGCATCAGTCTTCCAGTTTCTGTAGAAGAACAGAATTCTAACTTCAATGACAATTGCATTTTGTTTTGATCCCAGGGATAGCAGACCTTATGCATGATGGTCATGGGTCTACCAATTAGCTACATCCCACTTTCATAACAATGTTAAATGTCAACTAATAGACAAAGCTGTTTTAATCATTCACACTCACCAAACATTTTAAAGTTCTTATGTGAGCCCAAGATTGCTCTATAATTCATAACCATTTTAGATGCCCAGTCAGTCCTACACAAAAAATTGGAATTTAGTTCTTTCCTTACTGTCAGTAGCTATTAACTGAAATTTCACTAATATGTCTGTGTCACCCTTTAACTTTGACCCTTGTCACCAGGCTTTACTAATTATCAACATTTTTTCTAAAACTGCCTGCCACTCAGATCTGCATCTAGTAGCTCTGCAGAGAATTTTTCTTACATCTGTGTCAGCCTTCTCTCTGCCTTTGCCTTCCTCTATCTTTGTTTTTTTTTTTAAATTTTATTTTCCAGTTTAAATTTAGATAAGAAACAAGGTTGCTTCACAAGTCAGTTCCAGGTCCCTTTCCCTTTCCCTCCCCTCCTCCCGTGCCCTCCCTCCAACCCCCCCTCCCCCGTTATCCCCTCATTCCCCCAGGGAGGGTGAGGGCCTCCATGGGGGTGTCCATAGTCTGTCATTTCATATAGGGCAGAGCCTAGACCCTTCCCCAAGAGTTCAGGGTGAGAGTGCACCTCACATTGTTCTATGGGAGTCCAAAGTCCGTGAGTATACTTGGGATGGGTACTGATCTGCTGCCCAAGGCTTAATTATCAACATTTTAAACTTAATTTATTCTATTATTTTCTTTCTCTTGCCCATCTACTTTCTTCTGCAGGATTTTAAAGCAAGCTTCTGTCATCACATCTTTTTACCCAAAACAATTCAGTAGGTATTTCTAACAAGGTTTGATTTTTTAATGACCCACTTCATCTGTTTGTCCAAACCCAAACTTCATGTTATGCTTGTTTCTAGTATTTTTTCTTTCCCATTAACCTAGTATCAATGCATCTTCCCCTTCATTTTATGATATCTGCTAAAATTGAATTTTGTCACTTGTTCTGTCATTTCTCACATTTTGAGAATTAGCTAATGCCACCTAGTGGTGATGCTACTTAGTCAAGTCTCTACTTAAATGCAATGTAATTGGTAATCCTAGAAACTAAGATTCAAATTCAAAATTTTGTGGGGGAGGAAGACAGGAAGAAATGAATCACAGGTACTGGTGTCAGTTTCCAAGAGGTACACAAGGTCTTCAAAAGTCACCCTTTGAGATAATAAAAGAGTGATAAGCAGAGTTTGGGTATTTTCCGCCAAACCTCAGGAATACTTCACTTAGGGCTTTGTGATCATTTAAAGTGTGATGAAACATTTACAGCAATTTAATATTGCTATATTTTATAAGACTATTGATTCTTTACAAACTAGAAGTTTATAATCAAATAAATGTCCTCACCACCACAACTAGATGGGAGGTGCCTTATTCCTCGTTTGGGCTATGGAGGACACAGACTGCAACCAAACCAATACATCATCATTAACTTCTCTGGGCTGCAATGTTTAAAAACTTGGCTTTTTTACATTTGTTTATTGTGTGTCCATGTGAAGATCAGAGGACTACTTTTGGGAGTCTGTCCTCTCTTTCCATCAAGTGGATTGATTCTAGGGATCAGATTCAGGTTGTCAGGTTTGAGGTTAGTGCCCTTACCTGCTGAGTCATCTCACTGGCTGAAATTATTTTACAAAGAAATTTTCCTAACTCTTGAGTTATCTGGTACATAACTAGTATAGGAAAAGCATAGCATTGGCTGCTCCCTGTCTTCTCTATTTACTAATACCCAGAATAAGCTATATCTCAGCAAGTGTCAAGGTGACTTAGATGAAAAATAGCATCTAGTTTTAAAAATCTCTTTCTCTAGTAAATACATGTTTATCACTCTTTTGGTGAAATGATAACTTATATACTTTTCATTAATCATCAAAGAATTCCTCAGTGTCTGATGCAATGCAAACCACAATGAGAGTTCCACTACCTTAGAAGATAATACTCTACGTAGAGAATTAGTATTTACAATAAATTATATTTTTCCCTTTTTTTAAAATTTAGAGAAAAGCTTGTTTTACATGTCATTCCCAGTTCTCTCTCCCTTCTCTCCTCCTGTCCCCCACCAGCTCACTATCCCATCCCATCTGATCCCCAGGACGGGTAAGGCCTTCCATGGGGAATCTTCAAAGTCTGCCATATCATCTGGAGCAGGGCCTAGGCCCTCCCCCATGTGTCTAGGCTGAGAGAGTATTAAGCTTAATCTAACACTTTCTAAGCAGATTAAATTATCTACAGTAGGCTGGGAATGTAGCTCATTGGTAGAACATTTGCCTAGCCTAGGCTTGAAAAGATTATCTGAGGCTTGGTGGTTTTAAGATTGTTTTCAGCACACATGGTGGCTTAGAATCACCTGTAACTCTAGTTCCAGGGAATCCAATTCCTTCTCCCAGTCTTCAAGGGCACCTGTATGCACACAGTGCACATAAACTCATGCATGCAGGCAGGCAGCAGGCACGCGCACACACATCTTTAAAAACATCTACAATTTTACTTCACACATTGTAATGATTTTTTTTTGATACCACTGAATTAGCTGCAAATTCTCAGAAAATAATTATGACAGTAGAAGAAATGCTTCTAAGGTTTTATTAATGATATGGGCAATAGTTTGATAAAAAATATTCTCTATCATATTAAGAATTCCATTTCTA